AGGCTACGCATTCAACTGAACCAAACTCTAATGTATGTTGGTGCAAAATCACCTGTCGTTTGGTAGAAGAAAGCCAAATTAGTTACATCTGAACATGATGAACTGGTTGCGTGACATGCTCTCAGTTTTGAAAACTATGCACGTTAATAAAATACGGCCTAGACTACATTAAATACAAGCACAGCTGCACAATTATTCAATAAAGTGATTGAAGTTGCACGGGAAAATGAGTGCTGAAGAGCATCACCTGACACCAGAAGCTTTAATACTGAAAAGGATTATTTTGGATTCATGACCAAATAAAAAAAAAAAATCTGCAAGGAGTGGCTGCAGAGTAAATAAGATTTACTGCAATTTAGACAGCTTCATTGATTATAATGTGAGCATTTGCAGGAGTCCATAACTCTGCTTGTGAAGCTCAAATGGTTGCTTGAAACAGTGTAAAACTTGCAGTGACAGCTTCAGTGATTAAAATGGGATCAGAGTGTTCCAGTATTCTTTTCTGCATATAATATATTCAATATTTACATAACGGGTTTGTTTATGATGGAGCATGAAAATGCAAGTTGATCATTTAGGCACTAGTTTTCTACAAGACAGATTTGACATTGGGTATCAAATCCAACATCATACAACAATAAACAAAACTGTGCTTAAAATCAGCTTTGAAATTTATTGAGAACCCTTAACTTTAGTGGCAAGGTTTTGTTCAAATGCTCAGTGATGCTCTTCCTAGCAGTCACTAATAAAAGGAATTACACTGAACACAAACCAAATGGCAAAACTAGGCCTTTACACACATTCATTATGGAATCTCTTAAATCCCACAGCTACGCATCTTAATTAGAGTCAAGGTCCTTATTAATTATATCTTTGCGTTCAATTGTTGCCCTCCGGTCATTACAGATGTGTGATTCAGAAGGTTCATGCAGTCAGCGATGACGGGGTTCTGTAGGCCTGCTATCAGTTTGTCTGTCCCTTTAAAACTCTCCAAGCAAGCACAGAGTCCATGCAGTCACTATCATAACATTTCCAAAAACTGCATCCAGTGTTCCATTAGTGTAGAAGTCGTGCACATTACTGTAAACTAAATGTTACTGTTTACTTCACAGTCATTGTCTGTTGAGTGGAATTTGTTTTCTGATCTGACAAGCTTCATAGACAAATGAGTGAACTGAAGGAGGAACCTAAGCCATAACTAGAGACCAGGACATTATAGAGACTTCACGGGATGGGCTATTTAGACTTGAGCTAGTAAGCAACAACATGTTAAAAAACAACAACACTCAGAACACCTTAGCAACCACATAGCAGGACCCTGGCAACCACGCACTGTTGTGAATTTTGCACAGGAAAACACTAATACATCAGTTTTTAAAGACAATTAAAATAAAAACAATTTGCTGAATGAATTGAAGGGAACACAATATGTTTTCTAAATGTAAATGTCTAGGAAGCAAGCAATGAGTTGTATCAGATTTCAAACAACTTCCAACCATTATGATCTCCATTTTTTTTTTACTCATTTTACAAAAAACTTAAGGCTTGAATACCTCTGTTCCCAACCACTAGAATATGGAAATGACATAATTAAACAGTCATGTTTATAGTGAAACTGATCAAAATACAGTTTTTGATTAAAATAAAAACAATCTAACAGTGGGCTCCGCAAAATCAACTTAATTAAAATGGAAAACCAGTTAGCTCACTGACAGATATTTGTTCTTGTTATAAGCATAAACTCACTTAATTTTGTTCAAGCCTTCATTTTACATTTGCGTGAATTGCGTCTCAAGTAAATGCATTTTGATTTAAGGATCATGTTTAGATATTTGCAACGGAAAGCAAAAAGAAAAAATACTAAGGAAGACATTCATTTTTTTGCAATGCATGCAACCTTTAATGAATGTCTTCCTTAGTATTTTTTATTTTTGCTTTCCATTACAAATATCTAAACATGATCCTTAAATCAAGGATCTTAAATTGTGGAAAGGTGAATTAAGACTTTTTAAGACCACATTTTTAAAGAAATTTCTTGTTTTTTAGCTCATGGATCTTTTACTTATCAGACAGTTTTTTACTCCACTCTAAGTATACGCATATACTTTCAGTGTAGTAAGCTTAAAACATAAAAATGATAAGAATCATAATGTAAATGAAAAACAATGACAGCAACTGTTACTTTTTCAAACATCACATTTTGGCACGGTTCCATCTTGTTCAGGCCTGTGTAATTTAATACGAACCTGCCTGCTTGGGTTTATAGATTTACATGCACGCAGGAGCACAACAAGTACATGTTTTGCAGTGGTAGAAAGATCAGTGACGTTAATGAACGAATTAGTAATGTGATGGCATCATAAAAAGCATTATATTTGGCTGTAGCTTTAACAATGGCATTAATATAAGCATTTTGTACAATTTCAAAAATGAGTTGGGTTTACTGAACAGTAGCCTTCACTTCAACCTCTTGTTTGCATTTTCATCTCTATGCACCACCTCACTCTCTTCGCCTCATTCTCAGTCTGCAAGTATTTGCCAGTAAAATTAAATGGTATAAATAGCTGTTGTGCTGGTATCAGACACATCTCTTTGTTACCTGAAGCAGGTCAGGGACACACAGCTCTGACCTCCTCTCATAACTTCTATTTTTCACTTCTACCAATTATAAACCCTTACAAGAAAATTAAAAGAGACAAGTATGCGACGTGAAACTTAAATTAGTCTTGTAAATGTTTATGTAAATGTACCTATTAATATTTGCATTAGGAATTTAAAGAACCCATGAAATCGCTAGACGAACATTGCTTCTGCCCTTTGTTGGAGTATTTCCCATTAAAAAGGTTGATTTGTTCAATTTTTTGTAGTACAATGGTGGTATTGAAGCAGAAATGGACTAAAAGCTACAAATCTCCCGTTTTGGTTTCACAGTGCCTTTAAAAATGAACTACAGGTGAAGGCCCACATGAATGACTAAATGATTGATATTGATTATTTTGTTAATACACAAATGTAATTTTGGGAAAAGCAGGCTGTTCTCTGTTTAGTCTGCACATGTGCAACATGAGCAAGATGGAGGCCTGATCTATGCTTTGATTAATCAGTCTTTATTTCTTTTATGCTTGCATTTGTATGTGTGCGTGTTAAGTAAATGATCAACATATGGTTAACATATTGCTGCATCAGCAACAGACCCGTCTGGCCCTCGCAGAGTACTATAAATATATCAACAGAGTCAATATGTCTTTCTGCTTGGTAAACAGAAAATCTTTTGCATGACTATGCATTACAGCAATTATTTAAAAATGGTATCATGCCAACATACTGTACAAAATGGCATTAGATGATAAAACAGAGCAAAGATTTAATATTGGCAGGCTCTCATATACATACATGATGCCAGAGGGATGAACTATCAAAAAACTAATTCACTACAGAACACAATATTAGAGATTGCAAAGATAAAGAGCCATGGAAGAGAGATGCTGCTCTATGTGTGATAAAATATGTTAATCAATTCCATAAATTTAGAATTTGTTGAAGACCATGTGGAGGCAGGAAACATGGGAACGAGGCGTTATTTCCGCTGACAAGCCAAGCAGTCCATTTGTACAGAACTCATTGTGCTAAAACACGCAAATGACAATTTCGGTGTATTAATTGTACTGTAATGCTTAGCATAACGGTCACTACTTAAATATCAAAGATTATTCACATATCGGTGAGCCAAATGTTTTGGAAACACATATTTAAAACTTGGAGCAATTTAAAATTTTAACTGAAAGATTTGCTGAAAATACTCCTTTCCATACAAAAGATGGAGAAAATGCACAACATGATTTTCAGGTTTCCTTTTTTCTGACAGGTGGGGAATCTTGATTTGATAATCGCTCTCTCTCGCGCTCTCTCTCTCTCGCGCTCTCTCTCTCTCTTTCTCGCGCTCTCTCTCTCTCTTTCTCGCGCTCGCTCTCTCTCTCTTTCTCTCTGTTTCACTCCAAAGAGAAAAGAAAACTTGAAATCGCATCATATGACCCCTTTAAGACTAATTTCCTAGTCCATAAGTAATTTCACCTATAGGCAAAGCAGTTCATTACGCCAGTGGCTGATGTAAGTTTGTCATCTGAATGCTTTTTAAGTTGACTTCAGTGAAAAACATTGTAAAATGCATGACGACTAGCCCTGGTTTCTCCTACTATGTATTTGCTATCTTTTTAAAGTAGCACTGCAATGTAGTAATTGTGGATGATGCGTTTTTAACAGTCCATTAATGATCTGAGTAGGAGGTGATGTGTTAAGGATAATGCTGCCAAATGCCAGTTTAATGGCAGTTTGGGCTTTGACATTCATGGCAACAGTGCCTGAATACTGTATTTCATATCTGAATGTTCACTTTGTAGTTCACATGGGGAAGTTGTCACCAAGGGCTATACTCAGTGATGCCAAGTTAAGAGACAAAAGTTCAATTCAATTACAAATGCTTTTCTCTAGCAGCGCTTTTGTATGGAATGGAAATAATGGCGCAAATGTGCAGCTGCGGCTGAAACTTTAAGGTATGTGCCTAGACAGAAACAAACTACCCAAGGAAATATTCAATGGCGAATAAGCTGTGATGTAACTATTTTCACATTCATTTGTATGATGTGATCCATATGGAGGAAAAAGTAAGCATAAGAGCCAGGGAGGCGTAAGAATATCATACAAAATAAATTGTGAATTGTGAATTAACCACGTAAAATAGTTACAAACTGCTGTGTGTGTTGGCTGTGACAACTAACAACAACTGTCACTCTTAATTTCTTCAACTAGCCACTAGAAAACCAAAAGGCTTCTCTGTATTTCTTCCTCAAACACAAGCAAATGAAATGAAAGAACAATGCAACCATGTTTGCAACACCGCTTGCGTTCAAAAGGCAAGCAGCTGTCATGTAACAGAAAATAAACAGTTGCAGTCATTGAAAATGCACAGACTCAAATTTCTCTAGCGGGCCAAAGAGTCTTACCTTGACACTGGAAGCCTTGCTTGCCGAAACCCCTGCAAAAGAGACGAGACTGGGTGAGAGATTACATCACGGAAACCAAATCTGGATGCATTCCTCTGCGCTCAGCAGCAAGACGCACAGGCGCGCCATATTCCGCAAAATCGCCAAAAACATCTCTAGGATGATGATGATGATGATGATGGCTTAATCATAACGAGAGGGATTTCTCGTGATAGCCAGTTAACATTTATCCTTACTACAGCAAGAGAAGAGCCTAAATAAACATGCTGTAATTGCATAAACACACAAGCGCACTGAAATCTAAACATCTTGTAGAGGTGCAGCATTGCGCTGGACTCGCTGCGCTTGTCGCTTGTCTTTTCCGTCTGCGCTCGGCGTCTTTGTTCAGCGTTGACAGCACTGCGGATGTCTGAGAGCGTTCAAACGCTTTGGTGTTTTTCCTGTCGCGAGCATCAAGTGAGTCACCTGTGCCCTTCGCGGCCGTTTACATACAACAACACCTTTGCGTCCTCCAGCATACTCACCAGATGAAGTCGGTGCAGTGGCTGCAGAAGGTCGGTTGTTTGAAGAAGCGCGCGATGAACTTGTGGTTCTTCACTTCGTGCACGTTCTTCTGCCTCAGCGCGCCCTGCCTGGCGAAGCCTCGCGCGCCCCCCGCAGCCGCTGGGTCGGCCATGATGGGGACGGAATGGATGTAGTGGGTAGAAATCTCCTCGACTTGTAGCCTGCGCCGTTGTACGGGGTCGTGCTCGGCTTGCGCTTCGCTTCCCGGTTGGTCGGCACGCGCGCGCGCAATCGCCTGCCTCTCCCCAGCTGACTGTTGTCGCGAGCAGCGGTGCTTCAGTCAGTGTCAGTGATACTGTAACCACGCCCCCTTCGTGCAGCCGTTTTGAATGACTATTGCGGTTGAGAAAAACATTTTGGTAGCGCAGCCCGATTGAGAAATCCGTCCAAAAAGAATTTCCGAGGAAACTGTCATTAGAAGGGCGACTGAACGAGCGCCAGATGCACAACACTTGTTGATTTGGCGCATTGCAAACATTTACCATGGTAGCTTTCCGCCAAGACGCTTAAAATAATATTAACATTGAAATTGTGCTACGTGGGTATCACATGTTGTGTTGTTACCCTCACTGTGTGGAGATTTAATTATTATTCAGTGTACAGTTGAAACGGTACTATTTTAATATTTTTGTAGTATTTTAATAGGCTATACTGTAGTATTTTTGTATTTTGTTTTAGGCATATGTGTTTAAAAAGTAGAGCATGCATGACACTAATAACTATAAGGTCATGGGTTCGATTACCAAATAATGCAGGAACTGGTAAAGTATAAATCTTGAATAAGTTGGTTTGGATGAAAGCTGCTAAATGCATAAATGTGCTTCATAAGTTTACTGCTTTTCTCAAAACTGTGTAAACATCATCATAAACATCAAGTAGCTACAAGAGGCGCTGTTGTTATAATCCCACAACTTTTGTGACTTGTAACATTATAACAGAAAACATGGACAAATTTGGATGGATGGATTTACTGTCATAATCAAATTTCCTTAAAAAAGACAAAAATAGTTGCTCTATCACCCTCCATTTTTACCTAAATTCATGTGAAACATTTTCATTTGAAATGTTACACATATACAAAATATTTTCATTCAAAACAGCAATTAAAACTGAATAAAATATATAGAACTAAGACATAAAACATGAGGCAACGACTCTAAAAACATAACTGACATTGTGTGAGTGCATGCACTTGTGCAATTATGTCATGTCATCTTATAGACTGTCCCATTTTGTGCAATCTTTGTGGGTTGAGAAATACATATGAAAGTAGTGTTACAGCCCTCCCAGTCTGGTCAGCCATGACATTTCAAGTTTTATTTGTTTTATTTTGTGAATTTTACTTGTGTGAATTATTTTTATTTACCCAGAGAACCTGCTGAGTTAGGTGACACCAGTTCTGTAATTTATTAAAATTCCTTCAAATGATCTCATACAAAAGTATATATGTATTAAACCAGGCATGAAAAATCCAGTTTTGTTTACATAAAATATTTTTTGTCCCAATATATATTTTAGCTGTTCTTTACACACTAATGCTGGCCTAAATTACCCTTCCAATTCATTAAACCAGTTTTAGATAAATACTGTACGTAAGTTACTTTAATATCTTTGTCCCCATACTTCAGTCACAAATTAAACTTAAACTTCAGTGTATATGTTAGGTGCCTCAAACACCTTTTCCCTCACGATAGACTGGAGGACAGTCTTTAAACTTCTTGCAGGAACTTAAGGATTCCGTCGTGCACAAAGGTTCTGCAGCCATGATGAAACCTCAAGAAACCTTATAAGTTATTTAGAGACCAGTTTTTTTTGTTTGAAAGGGCTCTCAAAATGGATCAGACTGTATGTGGCAATTCTGAAAAGCCCCAAAAGCCATCTCAAGAATCTTTTTTTTTTTTTACTGTCATGTTGGTGACAAATTGCTTCAGAAAAATGTTGGCACTCAAACCTGTAATTTTCTATCAAAAAATAACAGTAGCTCATAGCTTTGTGTGCCTGTGTATACAAATCCCCTCATAATATGTGCAGAAGGGGTGGTAACTTGTTTAGTTTCTATGGAAGAGTATTTTCATTCCTGAGAACATTTGTTCTTCGTTTGGCTTTTAAAATGATGACTTGGTGTTAACCTTGAACTTTCACTTGTACTTTAAAAAGGTTTGTTTTTTAAAGAGTAGCAATTCTTTTAAGTTTTTATTTTTCTCAGAAAATGTTTCGGTTCTCTTTCCAGCAGCAAACATTGTGGTTGAAGCCTAGTGGTCTATGATCTGAACTGATTCAAACCCCAGTAGTGGTGACCCATGAATAAGGGTTCACGAAAATCACCATTGTGCCCTTGAGAAAGACACTTAACCCCAGGCACCACCAAGGGGACTGTCCTTGCAATTACTGTTCAAGAGCAAAGCATAAAATGACTGAATGAGGAACATTCAGACCTCCCACTTGTTCTTTATTTGTGGCAACAAAAAAATTCCCCTTTTAATTTGAATTAATTCTGCCATTTAGCAGACGATTTGCCACAACATATTAAACCTTAAAACGATTAACTGACCCACATCCGAAAATTGACCCACAGAGACATTTTTAATATCAGATGACTGACTAGTTGTCTTCTGAATATTCTCATGTCAGTTTCTGTGTATATATTATATATTCTTCATTCTGTCTTGATGCAATTGATGATCAGATACTGACCAAGGGCTCATAAAAAGAGATCTGAGTTTACTAACAAACACAAAAGATCTCATCGAGGCTTGTCCTCACATCATCCAACCTGACAGATGTGATCATTGTTAAATGTTATAAAGGAGACTTTTTAAAGGAGACTTTAGGTCTATTTTGATAGTCTTGATATTATTGCAAATTATCTGTTTTTAGATCTTTTTTTTTCTTCCAGAAATCACATGATTCTGACAACTTTTAAATAGTATTTTGTCTGTAGAGAGTACTTCAGGAGCCAAGAAATAAAATGCTCAAGCAGTATGTTCACTAATCAGCTTGTGATGAACCCACTGGTGGGTCACCAGTCAGGTTATTTATAAGGACTCAGTCTGTGATTACATTATTAAAACGTGCAATATTCGGTCAAAGTTTACAGTTTATTCGTTGACAACAATATGCATATCAGCACTGTACCAAAACCCTTTTCTTTGAATCATTTGCATTGGCAACAAAAGCATTTGATACAGTCATCCACCATCTGCTGAACTCCACACTGGTACAAGATACTACACTGTCAATTCATTGCACAAAATTACATGCTTGGTTTAGGTTTCATTATGAGAACAAGAATGTTATATTGTGAGAACATTAGAGGAATAACAGGTGAAAAAACAACAACAACTCTGATGTGGCCTTCATTACTTCACCACTACCTTCACTGATCAGTTATGAGCTCACATACTGAAATTACATAGCCTACTGTAAGTAAAATTAATCTTCAATTAAAAATCTAAAAACATCCAACAGGTGGCGCCAAAGTAATAAAATGCTATTTAAAAGTTGTCAGTATCATGTGATTTCTGGAGAAAAAAGATCTAAAAACAGATCGTTTGCAATAATATCAAGACTATCAAAATAGACCTAAAGTCTCCTTTAAAAAGTGAGAAGTCTGCAGGATGTACAGACAACATGCTAAAAACGAAAGAATAAGTCTAATATAATAGGATATGAACAAAAGAAAGTTACCAGAAGAGTAAAATTGTTTGTGATTTTATAACAGTTCATTATTGCTATTGTCACATACATTAGCATTTGATTCAATCTAATGTTATTTGCTTATATGTGACAGAAAAGGGGCTGAACTCATTGTGAAATCATCATACTGGTGATAAACAGTCAGTCATTACAGTAGTAAATAACATTATAGATAACTTCCCATTGTCACATCTCACATTACACAAACACATTCTACTGATAACACATAAGTTAATATTTGTTGTGCTAATATTGTACCTCAATCCATATGCATTCACAGTGCTGTTAGTGCTCTGAACATGTCATGTGAAATAGTCTGGCAAGTACAATGGGCCTACGTATGAAGTAAAAGCAGGCACATCTGAATTGATATTATCCAAGCAACCCGCTAAAGCTTCAGCTGACAAGCATTGCATTTTGACACTTTTTAAATATTACATTTAAGGTTACCCTCTTATCCACATTGTCACTTTTAATGGAATTGACATGTTTTAAACTTTGCAAATGTTAAAATACATTATACAGCAGTGTTAGTTTTGTTTTATTTATATACTATTATAGCATTTGGGTCATTCCTGGTATGCGGTAACATTTTGGCTTCATAAGTGTTGGAATACTTTCCGTACCCACTGTATATATGCTGTTAGTGCTCCTCACTTCACAAAATAAGACAAAAATATGCCAAACATTTAACGTTGCTGTCAAATTACTATTTAAAATGACTTGTCTAACAGGGTGGAAGGGAGCATAACAGGGTGGAACGGAGTATAACAGGGTGGAACACCAGTGTTAACAGGTTCTAACGGTGGACAAGCTTTCCGTCATTGTCCTGCATGGTTTCCCATCTGTAATGTGTGGAACTGCACCTATATAATATTGTTTCAAAACAATACCAAAAAAATAATAATAATCCAGATTTCCTTTGGGGGAGGGACACAAAAAATAGCTATGTGGTTCCTTATCACAATCAATCATGGTGGCAAAACAATTCTCTGTTCAGATGGCTAGAGAAATAATTACAAATTAGAGAGGACAGACATAATAAATGATTTTTTATTTATATTTGATTAAAAATAAAGATGTTATAATTCATCTGGATTAACTAGATTAACAAACAAACACAAAAACCATCACAAGAAGGTACAGTAATGGACAGTGATGCCCTTTTTCGTGTTTTGGCTACATCAACTAGATTAACAAATAAACTCAAAAACCATCACAAGAAGGAACAGTAATGGACAGTGATGCCATTTTTTGTGGTTTGGCTACATTTGTTCTTTTAGGTACCTCCATGTTTCTATGTAGGTCCTAGTGTTATAAATACCCTTTTTAATAACAGTTTATTTTCATTAATCAGTATCTTTATATTATTATTATATATATATATATATATATATATATATATATATATACACACACATATAGAATTTGCTATATACACTAAATACTATTTATTCTATTAGAATTTCCACCCAGAATTTAGTTTCACATTCCACCCTGTTAGGTTTATAGACCTAACAGGGTGGAATCTAACAGGGTGGAAAATTTTGAGCTAAGTTAGCCATAGCTCTTTGAGTGATCAACATTTAGCTAGCTAACCTTCTACAGATTAACAGAACTTTTATAACTATGTCAGATTTGTTT